ATCACTTTACTCTCTCAAGTAAGTATGCCGTAACACCCGAATGCAAAGACTATTTCTAGCATCTCGTGTTGAGGTCACACGGTATAATTCTTCTAAGCTGGTGCTTACTGGAATAATAGATCGAATTGAAATATCTTTGCTCCTTTGGCCCAAGACAACACCTAGAGCAACTCCACTAGCATCACATTACCTCGAATAGAAGGGCCAATCTAGGCTACTATAATAGGAGGCGGGGGTGAGTCTTTCTTTCAGGAATTCGAAAGCTTTCAGACTTGCATCATCAAACATGAACTTCACCTCCTTCTCAGTAGCTTGCATAATGTTTTTGTAATTTTTAGAAGTCCTTGATGAACCTCTTATAGAATCCTGCATGCCCAAAGAGCTCCGGATTACCTTTTGGCGAAATAGGTGGTTTAGGTCATTGCTAATGCTCTATACTCGGATACGAAAGTTTGGCTCAAGATGAATTTTTAGAGTGCATATGCCTGGATACTGATGATGTCAGTAATGGTCCATCCAATTGCCTTTTTGAACCTTCTCAGCACTGACACCAAGGCCTTAACTTGACCTCTATAAAAATCTGCAGCAATAATCAGTGAGTGTTGTTCTCCCTCAAAAATGCATATGTCAGATGTGGAGGCAGAGCTTTAAGTTCCAAGACTAGAGGTACTTCAACTGACGATTTTGCTGGAGGGTGCATGATTCTTTTAGATCGAGTCCAACTTTTGGCCTGACATTTATAGGACCCTTTCCCTCTAGTGCATTTACCATATCGGTGTATCCACTGGACATTATCCCATCAAAGATTGTGAGTACGGCTTCCAGTGTCTCCACACTCAGCCTTTTCTCTAGAGGCACGAGCAACCTCTTGTCCTCCATACTGTTGGTCTGAGGGTTGCTCTCGTATTAGTATCAGTATGGTAGCCTGAGTAAACCAAAAATAAGAAAAAAATATAAATGAGAAAATAAAGACGAAGAAGTTAGAAAAATTAAAGCAACTAATCTAATCCTAAGTTGTATTCCTCGGCAATGATGCAATTTTTGATAATGCTCAAATTACACCCCTAAAAAGTATAACATTAGACATTTGTCAAATAAAGACCCCAAGCTGAGGTTTGGGTCACCCTCCTGAGAAAGTGGTCAAGATATAGATTAATCTTTGTTATTCACACTTTTAATTCAATTATTTCCCTAAAGGGAGGTTTGTAAACAAGTAACAATATTTTGAAAGAATGTTGTAACAAATAGTTATGCAATCAACTAGGAGGTTCCCCATGGCTTCCTTACTAGGTCGAGATTATTGGAGCTGAAGTCTATCTCAATACTTAGCACGAAGAACTGATAAGGCTATGCTCATCTAAACGACTGCTTTGTCCCTATTAGATGACTCTACTCAATCACTGGATTAGGTCTCATAAGCGATTTCAATTAAAAACTTGTCAATGGTTATAAATTAACTATCCCGCTTCCGCATGACTCAAGCTATTCAATGAAACTCAATTTCAAGGCTTTGTTATTCTTTTCTTTTTCCTATTCTCTACTTATCTAGGTTCAAAGCAAGAAGAAATTTGGATAGTCCTAATATTGCGCATCGTTATGGTAGCTGCAGTCGAGAGGTTGCTCTCACGTTAGAATATGTTATAGTAGCGTTAAACCAAAAATAAGAAAAAATATAAATGAGAAAATAAAGACTAAAAGTTAGAGGCTAAGCAGCTAATCTAATCTAAGTTGGTTCCCCAGCAATGATGCTATATTTGATAATGCTCAAATTACACTAAAAAGTATAACACGGACATTGTCAATAAAGAACCCACACTAAGGTTGGAATTGATCCCACCTAAGGGAAATGGTCAAGATATAGATTAATGTTGGTATTCACACTTTTAATTCAATTATTTCCTAAGGAAGGTTTGAAAACAATTAACAATATTTTGAAAGAATGTTGCAACAATAGTTATGCAATCAACTAGGAGGTTTCCCCATGAATTCCTTACTAGGTCAGATTATTACACTCGTGATCTATCTCTATACTTAGCCTGAAGAACTAATAAAGTATGCTCATCTAAAGGACTGCTTTGTCCCAGTAGATGACTCTACTCAATCATTGGATTAGGTCTCATAAGCGATTTCAATTTAAAACTTATCAATAGTTACAAATTAACTATCCCTTCGGCCAGCTCAAATTTATTCAATGAAAACTCAATTATAAAGAGCTTTGTTGTTCTTTTCTTTCTCAATCTCTACTTATCTGGGTTCAAGCAAGAAGAGAGGTAGGCTAGTTCTAATGTTGTCATCGTTAAGAAATGTTAATCATGAAGAAAGAATAATACAGGAGGCATTCATATTGGTTTAGAATCACTTTGTATTAACTCTAGTTTGTTGCTCCACCATGGATCCCACAATCCTAGTTGTGGAGGTTTAGCCTCTTCATAATTGCAAGAATAAAACCAAATTTCATGAAAGAAAACATAATTGAAGACTTATAATAATGATGAAAGAAAGGAGCCGAGGTGATTGCACACTTAATTGTCAAAACTCAAGAACAAAGATGAATTATCCCAAGTATTCGGATAGCGATCTCCAACAACTAGAAACCAAAACGATCAAATACAAAGTCAAAAGTGCCAAATCTCTCTCAGGAAAATAACTAAAACCTATCTATACAATTAATGAAAACCTTTTCCTAAATTAATAGAGAGCTGCTACCGCCACATCCTACGTGTCGTAGCATGATGCTACGAGTCGTGGCTTCTATCCGTGGTATAAAATGTAGTCTCTGTATCTGCCAAGTCCTGGAGATTGGTAGACTCGTATAATGCACTACGAGTCTAATGCCGATCATGGTTTGGCCTTACCAAATCTGACATCCCTGCGAATCTTTCCATGAGTCCTTAGTCTTGTCCATACCTTGGTGCTACAACTCGTACTAGTACCCTAGGATTTGTGAATGACATTTCACGAAATTTTCCACGACTCCTCAGTACGGTTCGTATGTTGACACTACGATTTGTAGCTCCCACTCGTACTAGGAGCTTCCACAAGTGGAACCTCTTTGATTTTCCACGACTCCACAAGTCTGACTCATACTAGGATGGCACCACTCGTACCATGTGAGTCGTACTTTAAGCCAGCGCTTGTGCTTTTCTCTTGTGCTTTTCTATGAATTTTACTACTGTTGCTAGGTACGACTCGTACTGGATGTTATGTCTCGTACTGAGACCAGTAGCAAGCCATTTTCTGTACTTTTATGCTCCTTACAATCCAACTGCCGAACCTAATTTCCTTGAAAATAAAGTAAAAAGTACCTCATATCTGTATAAACACATCTAATACCAATCATCTTTTCTAAGTTTTAAGTGTTGAAAGTGTTGTAAAGCCACAGTACATCAGGGCTCTATATATGCTCGCATGGGGTATGTCGATTATAAGAATCTCCCATTGTTCCTTGATTTTCTATATATGCTTATGTCCATGAATTATGAATTTACTACTGTGATATCTTGGCTCAATATACGTTTTATGAGGTTGTACGTACGAATTCAGTTATGATCATCTTTATGATTCAATTTCGTAAACCTAGAGCCACTATACTCAATTTATGATCCAAAACTCATGATTTAAGTGTAATCTATACTTATGACCTTATCTTACTGTTTTACTATTATGTTTTACTTACTCTACCTACTCAGTACATTCCACGTACTGACTGCATACTCTATACTATATCATCTCATGATATAGGTTCAGGTGATTAGTCTCATCCCATGCATTAGCTCTACTCCTACTTCAGTTCAGTTTATCCCCAGTTTAGGCGAGTCCTCATCTTATGGGAACACTTATCAGCTTTATATTTAATGTCTATGTCTTTCAATTTCAAACTTAGCCGATCTAGTTGGGGTTATTGTCCGATCAGCTCATCTTATGATTAGAGGCTTTTCAGACAGCTATGTATTAGTTGATTCAGCTTGTTGTCTATGCTTATGTTTTATGATATGCAGTATTCCACTTATTTTATGTTTATGATTTCATATCTCTTAGTTATGCTCATTATTATGCTTTGTAGGTGTCATGGGTTAACTTAGAGTCATTCGCGGTTCTAGATCCCATGTCTTGATCGCGGGTCCAGGCTCGGGTCGTGACAAAAGCTTTGTGTTTATTTTTCTTTAAACCCCAATCCATTCTCACTAGCCATTAATAATAGTCTCTTGGTTGATTTTCCTTTCTTTACCTACTAAGATTTTTCAGTTCTCTAAGTTTGAAAGGTCCTAAGAGCACAGACTAGCCACGGAGCTTAGATACGATTTTCGATTGGAGATCTATGGACCACAGACGGTATCTCCCCATGGCCTTTTGTCTCTAAAAGCGTCCTTCCTTTTTAATTCCCGAAAATCCATATAATGCATTCTTTTCAATCTTGTACCTTATGTATGATTGCAAAGCATAGGCTAGACAAGTGGTACACTGAACACCAACCCAATCTCAACAAAAAGAAAAAGGAAAAGAAAGTACATCCATAATGGCCTTTATTCCTAGCATAAACGACTGCTTTCTTGGAGCTAATTCATAGGCTTATTCCATTAGCTAGACTTCACACACTATATAAACAAATAGTTGAAGCGTGCAATAAAAAGAATAAAAATAGATTGATTGATTATTGAGTGAAACTCCGTAAATAGATGACTATTGGTAGTTTAAGTATGCTTAAAGTCAACTACAACTAGAAAGAATGCCGATCCTGTGACCAACAACCTTTGACTTTGACTGTGAAAAGCTCAAAATTGGCACACAGTAGTTTAGAATAGAAGGAGTGAAAGTCACTTGACTGTAAAGAAAGGAGCTCTAGGTTGGAATTTAGTAGTGACAAATGGTCATCTGTACACTATGTCTACTGGTGTTATCACCCTGCAAATAGGTAGAACCAACTAAGAATGAACACTAGCCCCATTTTATAGATAGATTGGGACTAGCCTTTGATCCCAATGAACAATGTTCCATTGATTAGGTGGGAACAGGATTTAAACCTATAATCTTCAGGTCTTGAGCCTGATGAGTTGACCAATTTCTCTATCCCGCTTCTTTCCCTTCTCATTCAAACCATACAAGAATTTCAAGTCCAGCTAAGTTACCTAAACCATTCTGAAATAAGTCTCATCTTTTAATGTAATTTGCCCCCCCCCCTCAAAATCTAAGGATGACAAAAGTCTCTGACAAAAGTCTCTATGTTGAAGGGCCATGTGACTTTAAATCTTTGAAGAAGGATAAACTCTTCCTTATATACAAAATTTTATGTATGAAATTGGAAGAAGAATTGTTGCTTTCAAACATGAACTAGTTCCGGGATTCAAAATAGAAATTGTTGTTTTATTCGACACAGTTAGCTTTATTCCTTACTTGAGGGCGGAAATTGTCTTATCTTAGGGTAAGGGTAGCTCCAGGTGGGATGGGATGGGGGATTCACATTTTTATAATCGATAAGTAGTGTAGGCCTTGTTAGACTTGCAATAGGATTCTTACAAACAATCTTAGAGAGCTCTATACAATGCAACACCTTCATTGCCTAACAGTTCTACAAGAGATGCTTCATTCGTTCCTCTACACTTACTTACGCTACAAGTAATTTAAAGGAACAAACAGGCAAAACTTTATGCTAAGCAAGCTATATGACTAGCTTACCTAGTTTGGTAAGTGTAGACACAAAAAATTTTGTGGGATTAAGTCCATACAAATTTGGACTAAGTTCTAAATTCAAGACATATTGACCTAATTCAAAAGTTTGGGTTAATAAAGTCAAATTAATTATTTAAGTCAAGATTGCATGACTTAAGTCAAATCCAACAACATTGGGTGGTTGGGCCTCTACAAATGGTCCACCCACATATTTCACGCCCAAGGGTCCATTACGATTACTTGAAGTCTATTCTAAAATCCTAACCCATGCCTATATAAAGAGGATACATATTCTCTTTGGATGCATCTTGAAAATTTCATAACATCTTGGAAGATGCACAAGGAGTCAAGACATCGACTACATCATCTTTCTCAAAGTTCTCTAGCAAGGGTGAAGTGATCAAGAAAAGTTTTTCCTCAAGATCAACTCGAAGTGTCGCCTGATTTTCTTAGAGATCAAATACATACTAAGGAGGCCTACATCATCTTTTATTTAAGAAAAGCATTTCTTTTACCCTTGAATCAAGGCGAACAACTTGGAGATAAGAATCAAGGGATAGTTGGAGTTGTACTCAAATATTTATCAATAAAATAATTTTTTCTCATACTTGCTTTATGATTCTAGTTATTTATTTTCTATGTTTAGAATTTTTCATGAACATATTTATCTCTTTCTCACATAAATCAGTTCTACAGACTTTGGATCCAACTGTTGTGATAGCCTAAAGGAAGAGAAACAACATCGCATACAAAAATATCCATGTAATTGTGTCCGTTGAAGATGATCACACTGGCCTGATGACACGTAGCATGCTCTAGTGGAATCGACAAAGAAAAATATTTTATCTCCCTAGAGATGCCTAAGAAGAGAAAATCTTCAACAATAAGGGCAACATCTCTATTCTCTATTCGAGGTAGCTTCTCAATCAGAATCCAACCTTGATGAGTTTGAGGGTGGATGTAATTTAGCTCGAACGAAGTGAGAGGACTCTACGAAGTCATCTACTTTAACCGTGGTCAATGCTTCGGTGACTAGCACAACGACAAGGGTAAGTGGCTTGTTGCAATTGCACAAAGAAGTCTATGGAAGAAAAAAAGACCGTCAAATATCCTAACTTATGAGAAAATTGGAACTTTACAGCCCTGACGAGTCAAGTCACAATTCAATACTTCAAGCAAAGTTTATTGTTGAATCTCCTACTAATTCATCTAATGCTCAAAACACAAATTACTCTATTTTTGTATCCATATTGACGGTCCAACAATTGCCAGATATGTTAATAAACACCATCATAGGTCAATATAGTGGTCCACCACAAAGCTCGCTAGATTACTCAAAGCCATAATCTAAGAGGATTAATTGTTTGGCGATGCCAACTAGCTATCAGCCACCAAAGTAGCAACAATTTGATGGGAAGGGAAACCCAAGACAATACATTGCTCATTTTTGTAAAAACATACAACAATACTAGTATACACGACGATCTCTTTTTTCAAGCAGCTTGTGTGCTTATTAAAATAAAATAACTTATTGGTATATCGATTTAGAGTCTAAGTCAAATGATAGTTGGGAGCAACTTGAAGGTAAATTCCTTAATCTTTTTTACATTGCTCATCGTACAATGAGTATGATGGAGTTGACAAACACCATGTAAACAAAAGATGAACGATTAGTAGACTTCAACAATCGGTGGTGAATATTAAGTTTAATTGTAAGGATTGCCTCTCAGAAACATCTGTCCTCAATATGGGCATTAATGTCTTATGTATATCCTCCAAGGATTCAAGCTACACACTTTTGAAGAATTATGACATGAGCTCATGACATGGATTTGAGTATTATAAGTCATGAATAGACTTTATCTATTTTTGATCTGAGGAAGGAAATTAAAAAGTTCAATCAACTGTGAAAATACCAAGTCCGCGATGGAGAGTTGCAAGAAAAAACTCCAAGTCTGTGATCGAGAGAAAAGGAACCTAACCAATCTTGAAGGAGTTCGAAGTGAAGGCCTACTTTTTCCTTGATTCTAATGTCCATGTGATTCTTGATGAGCAGTTTTCTATACTCTATTAGAGATTTTCTTTGGTCTATCACAAGCAACTGAGTGGAAGTAAGTGCCTCTCTTTCTATTTACATATTATGTAAGCTCACTCCAAGTCGAATCAGTGTTAGATGGGTTGGTTAATCTCCCAAATATGATTCTTATCCCATTTGGTAGGTTTGTATGCACCCACACTCCTGTTTATTATTTTCTAGAACCTCAGGAACTATCCTTTCTGGCTGCCCCCTCCCCCATGGCTTTTCCTTTAGGTTTGTCAATCAACTTGGCATGTTCAGATCATGGCAACTTGATGATGATGTATTCATAGTATTCCTCTAATGGGAAATATGTTAATATCTATCCATGACTCATGGAACCATTATTTCGCATGTCGAAGCTCAGGATACGTGTTATTGCTATTGCTTACAGGCGTGAAGACCGGGTTCTAACTTTTTCTTTTTGAGAAAGAAGAGGTTACTAGACAAGAAAAAGAGTAATGCTTTTATTTGAAACAAAAGAATTAGTTGAGACATACCTTTCACTAAAGAACACTATATCCAGGAGGCCCTAAAAAATCAACAGAGCAAGAAAGAAAGAAAGGATAAAATCATCACATCCCGCATGTTAAAGAAGAGAGAGGATAGCCAGAATTGTATTGAGGCCATGATGAGTTGGTTAATAACCAACTCATTCTACTTTTATGCCTTTTCTCTTCTTTTGTGTAGGCATTTATCTTAGAAAAAGAAAATAGAAGAATTGAACTGAAAGAAATATGTTGGAAGAAAAAGGACATGTGTGTCGCTTATGGGCAGATGAATCTGGAGACTTGTTGAGCAAGGACCTGCGAGTTGCAGATTGGCATCTGCGAAATGTAGGTGCCACTGTAGATGATATACAGGGCACTGGTTAGTCTTAAACAAGGACTTGTGATCCGCAAATTGGGATCTGCAAAATGCAAGTGCCACGTATGTAACCCGCGCCACTGCTGAAGGGAAAAAATATCTAGAACAGGAACAAGTGTACCTAAGAAGCTTTCAAAGGGCATTTTTCAAGCTGTGCAAAAAGGAATTTCAAAGATTTACACCCTAATTGTACATATCATAAAGGAGAGTATTGAAAATTGAACATTGAATATGGAGTACATCATAGAGATAGATAGAGTACATTTTTTTCTTTTTTCTTTCATGGAGTATGAATCAATTGGTCTTATTCGGATGAGTTGAATTTCATTTTCCTTTTTTTAGTTTATCAGTCAGGGCCAAATCCTTCTCTCTAGAAATTCCTGCTCCTCGGTGAGTGAAGTTTTGGCCCCTATTGAGTAGCCTGATAGAGCTTATGTGTTTGCTAGGTTTTTCATCATCCTCTTTTTCACAAGAATATGAGACTACTCACCTTCAGTAATTATATTGTCCACTCTTGTCATTGATTGTACAGCTTTCTATAAACAAGAAATTTTTGGGGAGTCCTCCCAGTCGACTAAAGGCTCAATGACTTTCGAGTTTGAATCTAGCTAAGGTATGAGCAAGTGTATCTTCTTTAGGGTCTATCACCAGAGATTTTTCCATTATCTACTACACTAGCCTTCTAATAATCTAAGGTTGAATTTTCTTTTTCTTTGGTTGTTGTCATAGAACGACCTTCTATTCTTTTAGTTGTGTAAGCCTTCCACCTATCTCTTAACTTTGATCTTTTTGTAATGAGCCATTCATCATTATGGGTTAATTAAGGTATTAGCATCCTGTTTCACATAAGTGCATGGTAGAAAGTTCATGGGAGTTTAATTAAAGACTTATGTTTTTAGGGGATGAAAAATGTGCAAGATTTTTTGAGTTACTTGTTAACAAGGACCACTACAGTGGTTGGAGATCTGCTGCAGCAAGACCGTCATGACGATCGGAGGTCTGCTGCAGCAGTAGGGAGAGTAACCATTGGGTCCACCATAGAAAGGTTCCGGTTACCATAGCGGGACCACTACAACAAATATTTGCCTGCTGCAGCAGGCGATGAGGGGCAATATGACAATTTAAGTCAGAATTTCGGAAGTTTTCACCCTATTATGCACGCACTTTGAGCGTAGAGGGGAAATTTTCTAAGGGCAATGTAGTTTCTCCTTCCTAATGTAATAATTCTAGATATTTATTTCCCTCATTTGATTTCCTAACACCCTAAAATCAAAGGGTAGTATCTAATGGTGAATTCCTAGCTAAGAACCCTAGGTTTGTGAAAAATAGGGCCAGAGTTATGGGAATGATTGGGTGTTGACTCCTAGGCCTAAAAATGGTTAATGAACACTTTCTAGGGGAAACTGAAGGTACACATTTCAATTGTGGGGTAATTTGAGACTCGGATATTAGTAAGATTGAG